GTACATGTTTGTATATTAAGATTTTTTTTCCAGAACTCACTTCAGACACTAGGTAATATCTTTCACAGCTCACAAACAGTAGGGGGGGGGAAGCTGAAATAGGAACCTGGTCAACACTATTATTTCTTTACTACTATTTCTTTACTTTTAGATGGGGAGAATTACCGAAGAAGTACAAAAGACTGAGCACAAGAAATCATGCTTTCTCTGTGGTAGCTCTGGTCTCTTTGGAATAAACTACCAATAGAAGTTCAACAGGCTCCTTCCCTCCATGTCTTTAAGAAGCAGGTAAAAACTATACTTTTTAAAGCAGCTTTTTATTAATAACAATCTGAGATTTAAAGCCATTTAATTGTCTGATTATCTAAACTGGGTTATTGGTGGCATGGGATTAATTATTGGTTTTATAAATTGTACCTTTATAGTATACTGTATTTTATTTGACTGAATTCTCAGTTGTCAACTGCCCAGAGAATGGCATGCACTATGGGGTGGTATACTAACAAACCACCAAACTAATTATATACATGTATTAATAATATCTATTGCACCAGTCAATGATGATGACAAGATAAAACAGTTACAATCAGTCACTAACTAAAATACAAAATCAGTAACAAACTAACTAAACAAATAAATAAAATTTGTCTGAAAATCTTGTTGAAATAAAACAGCAACAACAAAGAAAAATGTTACTAGTTCAGAACAGATGCTGAGCTGGTTAGAATGCTGGATTGGGACATGGGAAATTGAAGTTCTAGACTTTGATGAGATGGCATGGGAAACCTTGACCTCTGAGCGTTCAGCCTGGAGGCAGGTAGTGCATCACAGCCTCTCCCAATTTGAAAAGACCCTTGTCCAGCAGGCCGAGGCAAAGAGGTATTCACGAAAGCAGCAAAACCTGGGAGCTGGACAGGGGACAGATTGTATTTGTCTTCAGTATGGAAGGGATGGTCCCTCTCGAATTGGCCTTCTCAGCCACACTAGACGTTGTTCCAAGTCCTCCATACAGAGCACATTACCATAGTCCCTCGAGACTGAAGGATGCCTAATCTATCTAAGGACTTTGATGAGAAATGAAACTCACTGGGTAGCCATGGGCCAGTCAGTCTCTCTCAGCCTTTCTACATTGTGGCTAACTAATTGAGGGTGTTTCAGAAGAGGCGGTCATGCTACATATCAGGCAAAATAAAATAAAGACGATGAAAACACTATGGCACCTTAAAGGCCAACTGCTATATCTTAATGTGAGCTTTTATGGACAAGTCCACTTCCTCAAACCTAGGAGTGTGATATCTGCACCATCCCCTCCAAAACAACCATTATTCCGACTTAACGGCAATTTTTCCAGGCTTGTACACAACAAACATATTAAACTAATACTCTAGGAAGGGTTCCCTGTTTCTTAATTTTTCTGATAACTGCACCTGTTGATAAAGAGCCAGCAAAGAGTTCTAGGTATTCAAGAAGTTGCTGCAGTGAATAGCAAAGGAAGTGGTTTTAAACAAGGACCAAAAGCCGCACGTTTGCAGTATTGGCAGGTGCTCAGGAGATGATAAGCTGCAGGGTGGTGTGTCTTGAAGAGGTCAGAGGAAGCACAGAAACAGCACCACAATCTTTTTGTCAATGCTGCACAAGATATATAGTTGCTTTCTCTACCAATGTGGACCTACAACTCAGATCTGAGCACTGACTGCTTCACGGCAACCAATTTAGAATGAGACTTACTTTACATGGTGTTTCCAATTCATGCTGTCATGAAGCCCTTTTTCCTTGCATCAACCCATTCAGCAATTCACCCCGGAGGGAATTAAGCGGTTGCAGCCACAAAAATCTAAGGACTATCACTAACTCATCAGCAACAAAGACACCCCTTTGCCCCCCCCCCCATGCATCACACAGGCAGTGACTTGAAATGGCAGCCAGAACTGGATCCAATCTCCTGCTGGGCTTATTCCAAGCACAGAGCTCAATTTCAACTTGGAAGTGTTCTTTCCGTAGACGTCTACGTGACTACTATGCAGAACACACCCATGGAAAAAAACATTGTGTTGAAAGAGGCCTCGTCTGTGTGTGCAAACACACACACATGCACACACACACAGAGGCTCCTACAGAGTAATACTATGTTCAGCTACGTTTCATCTACAGATTTCACCAGGGGTATGGAAGTGAGTGAAAGTTACACAGAGAAATGCTTATCCACCCAGCATGTGTAACAAATGGTACAAATCATCCACTCCATCGTACGTCTGCATGCAAATGCCAGTCATGCGACCTCAACAGCTTGGAGAACATGCTGTATGTATGTTTAATCATCCAGCCTCCTCAAATGGCCTGCACAACATGTAGGCTGAACCCTTAGTGCAGCAGAAAGTGAGGGAGACTCACCTAGTGTTGCCTGTGTGATTGTGGGAATTGTAGTCTAACAAACGAAGCCAGTGTGGGCTATATAGGAGAGAGGGGCAGATTAAGACCCAGGACAGTCCAAAGATTCAATTGAAATATAGAACTGATTAAGACTCAGTGCATTTGGCCAGGGAAATTCTCTGGGGTGTGGCAACAGTAAAATTACTCCTTAAATATTTCACATCATTAGGGGTGCCACATGTTGGATGTGACTTGATGGTAGATAACAGACACCTAACTGTGTAACACATGTAAAGAGTACTCAAGGGGCATAGCCTCAAATATCAAAGTATCTTGGTAACTGTCTTTCACTATACTGTACACTTTAATCTCTTAACATAAAAACTACACAAACGAAAGTTGCAATTGAGTCAATGCACTGCACGAAGCCCAACAGAACTGGAGGAACAGTTACCTTAAATGACTGAAAGTTTTCAAGAAAGAAAACCCAGAATTGCATAACTAAGTAGATGCATTAATATATCTTGGGATCTTCGAAGACAAACTTTAAACTGCTTCATATATATATTTTTAAAAAGCTAGATTATACCTTGTAACTTTGTACCACTTTTTAAAAACACACCAAATACTGCTTTTTCACACACTAAGACGATGAACACACACATGCTGTTCTAAACAGAACAGTACAGTGGACCCTCGACTTAAGGAATTAATCCATATTGGAATGGTGGCTGCAGGTCAAAAAGTCTGTAGGTCGAGGCTCCATTAACCTACAATGCATTCAAAACTGATTAATCCATAACCAGCCATTTTTTTTCTATTTTGGTTTTTTCCCCGGTCTGTAGGTTGATTCTCCGGCTGCAAGTCGAATCTAAATTTTGCAGTCGGAGAAGTCTGTAACTCGAAAAGTCTGTAAGTGGAGCCATCTGTAAGTCGAGGGTCCATTGCAAATCCAATGGCAGCTGGAGGCCACAAAACGGGAGGGCGGTTGTCTGATTCTCAAGAATTAAAAATTCCAACAATCCTCACAAGATATGAGATCCTGACTGTGGGGCCCCACTGAACTGAAACAGCCGATCAAGATTATCAGTGGCTTATAAAGGCATGGCCTATTCTTGCACTTGTATTTTGTGATGGCCACACAGCTCCACCCTTTTTATTTCAATGGAACTATGAGGATATGTATCAAGAAAGAGCTGCTTCCCATCATGTACCAACAAGAAGGCACATGGACTCTCAACACCAGCGGAGCAGGACTGTAACCACTAGGTAATATTATTTTGATTTTAATCTGACCCCAATTGGCTGGACCTAGGGGGTTTACCAAATTATATCCCAATTCCCAGATGGAGAGGACATGGGTTTTCTGCATCACCCCTGCTTCCATGGCCAAGCAGCAGCAGAAGAGCCAAATGAAGAGGAGGTGTGTGTGAGCGTGCATGGACTGCGCCCTTTTATTTTTGAAGAACTGGAGTGTGAAATCCAACAACCTTACTGCTTCCTGCCTTATCTAAGACAAATGTGCCTGGCAAAATTCACTTCCCCAAGAACTTGACATCTAAGAAGGCACCTCCTAGCAAACCCCATCTTGCCACAAACTTTTGGACTTCTGCTACTTGCTTTGCAGAAGTGGGATTTACCCACAAAACCTTGAATATTGTATGATTTTTAAAAAATGTGACATATAATGGTATCTATTGCCTATTCTTATATATGTATTTTGTAATAGCCACAGAATCCCCCCCGCACCTTTTATTTAATGGGTTATATATGTTAATAATTAAAATCTGATATATACCAAAATCAAAATCCGTTTATAAATTAAAGAGGATTAAAAGGTAAGATTATTATTTAGATTGCAAACCAAGAATTAAACTAGATAATGTTAACTAGATTACAAATCTAAAAATATTGCAGAAGACATAGTCAGTTGAACTACTTGGCAGAAAGACTACTCTTGAAATTTCTGTTTCATTTCTTTTCCTTTACCTATTGCAAAATTGTAAGTAAATAAAAGGTTTTCTGCAATGATCACCAAAAAAAGTTGATTTAAGTGGGTCTGCTCTAGCAGGGTGGATAAAAATCAGAGATTTTTTAAAAATCAGATTGATTTCAATGAAAAATATCAAATGTTTGGTTTAAGTCATCAAAAAGATCTGATTTTTAAAATTTAAATTATGATTTACATAAATCTGATTTAAAGTAAATCCACCCTGACTTTAAGTACAAGCGTCAGCATGGTGTAATGGATAAAGGATAAATGATGCTCACATTAGTATTCAGGATCAGGGTTCAAATGCCTGCTTGGTCATGGAAACCTATTGAGGCATGGCAAAGGGAACCTACTCCTTGAAACATCTCACATACAGTACCTAGAAAACCCTATCAGAGACACCACAAGTCACAAGTGACTTCATGACAGATAAAACAGGTGACCACCTCCATTGTTTTTTCATGTTACAACTCAAGTGGACAACGTGTGGCTCTTAAGAATAAGGAAAGAATCAGGCTCCCATGTCTCAATATCCCCTTAATGTTCAAGGTTCTTTCTGACATTCATCTGTTTTTAATTTTATTACAAGTCCAAGAAAAAAACAACAACACAGCTTGGGTCTCGAAAAGTAACTTACCAGCCCATCATTATCTTCTGAGGTTCTCTGATAATGTGCTGCTAGGGCAACATAGTCCAGTGCCTGCTTATTACATTCAAAACACTTTAATCCATGGCGAATTAGCCTCAATGGGTCCTTGTACAGGGGCAGAGCTGGCTGAGCGTTTGCTGAACTGCCAGTCCCGCTTCCGGGGGTAGTGCAAGTCTTATGCGAAAGCGAGGACACACGTATGTTCTGAGAGGTTGAAGACATTGACGGCGACGAGCTTGTTGGGGAAGGCGAAAACATTTGGTCTAAGGAAATGGGTTTCATGAACAGCTGAGAACACTGCATGATGAGGCCTTTGCTCTTGTGATCCCTTGCATGCTTGAGCAAGCTACACTTGTTGAAGAAAAGCAACGTGGCCGAACACTGAGTACACATGACTTCAATGTGGACGCTCCGCCTGCTGTAATGTTGAGTGAGGCTTTTTTCTAAGGCAAACGAGTCGCCACATTCCAGGCAACAATACCCAGAGGCAGGGACATGAATACTGCTGTCAAGAGGAGGGCTGAGGTTTGGAGTATAAATTGGCACAGGGTTGGCACCATGCAACACTTTGTTAAATGCTTCCACCACAAGAGGAGCGGCTTTCTTGACCTGGTGTACAAGAGGCACCGACATCTGCGGAAGCTGGGACTGGCCACGCCGCTGCACGGATGATTTTGCGGCCACAGAAGCGGCAACACTGTGGGGCACCAAGTTAAGATTGGCCAGGTGCACAGCTTTCGGAAGGAGGCTGGCCGGGTTGGAGGCCTGGGCCGCCAGACCTGGCTGCTGTTGCTGCTTCTTATTTAACTGCTGTCCCGCAACGGCTACTTTTACTGCCCCACTGCCGCTGTTGGGCTGCAAAGATGCACCAGGGTTGCTATTAACAGGCACGTCTACCATCATGCCGTCGGCTTGGGGGCTGGCGAGGTTCACCTCTGGAGTAGCAGCTTTAGCAAAACCCTTGCATGGCTCCGTTTCCATGGAAGTGCCTGGTTCTGGTGAAGGGGAGGATTTAAGCAGCTCTTCCGTCGCCGAGTTCTCCGCAGGAGATTCCTCAGGCGATTTGCCAAAATCGTCGGCTTCTGGCAGGATCCGCGTGACCATTCTCTTGATCTCACCAGAAGAGGTTTTGATGGTCTTGATCCTGACTTTGGGGATGGCCGGGGGAGATCCGGTTGCCACCGAAGGAGAACCTTTGCTACTGGTGTCACTACACACACTGCGAGGAGACTCAGGCTGCTTGCTGACCTTCCTCACCATCTCAAGGGGACTTTTGGGGCTCTTTGGTGACTTGGGCATTTTGGGGCTCCCCTTGACGCTGTCCTTAAAGGAGCCAGAAGGCTCTTTAGCCACGTTTGCCTGATCCTCCTTCGAGATACCTGCAACCTTTTTGGCCTGAAGAGCTACGAGCGCAGCAACACAGGACGACAGTTTGGAGTGAGCCGGTTTGATACGCTGCCGAGGTGGGACTGACGATGAAGAGAAGCTCATCTCAGGCACAGCCCCTTTGCTTTCTCCCACGTTATTGCTATGGAGGTTGCCCGATGGCAAACCTTCCCCAGGGAAGCTGTTTGTATCCACAAGATCTTTGCTAGATGTTTCACGCTTCTCGGGGCTCTTGTCCCGTTCTCTCCTGCTTGCGTCTGCCCTATTTTCCTGCAGCCCGTGCACATCTATCTTTGGGTCCCTTTTGCAGTACTGATCAAACATACTTAACTCTGGTTCCGGTAGCTTCTTACTAAGGAGATCTAGCAGCGATGGTCCAGTGGACATAAATCGACTGAACTCTGATTCTGGTAAGGTCCTACTCAGCAGATCTAACACCGATGACCCGGATGGAATATACATTGGGTGGGGTGGGAAATAAGGAGTTTGGGTATGTTTGGGTTTATCTACAATACTGTTATTGTTCTCTTTAAGTGCATCCTCTGGCTCAGGGCTGGAGATAGGACTGAACTGACTGAATGTTGGTAGCGGTTCTGACTTTGACTGTTCCAGCTTTTCTGGATAACTCCTCAAGCCATCACCATTGATGAAAGCAGAATCAAATTTCCCATAATTATGACTCTCAAGGGGTAGATCGGAACCACGGAAGCCATTGTGCAACAGGCCTGGTCCTAGGTGGTTGCCTTCCTTCTCAGCCTCAAATGACTCTTGACGACAAGTGTTTTTCACAATGACGCTCACAACTGGAACATCAGAAGCTGGTGCTGTGTGGGACAAGGATGCGTTTTCATCAATGCAAATTCCGGACTGCTTGAGATGGTTTTCATTCTCTTCGCCAGTGTTCTGAATGGCTTCCTTGGCATCCAGGCTGGTCGGGTCAGGAATGTCAAAAGCAGCCAGCAAGTCATCAAAATCCGGAGTTTTCATGTCCCCCATGATGAAAACTGCAAAGCAAAAAGGTATCATCAACAATATTATCTCTGTGAATGTCATTGCCCTTCCCTCTTTTTTTTTTTTTTTTTTTGATAAACATACAGACATGGATTCTAGCCACTCACACAGGCAAAAATTATGTTCGCCCAAAGTTCACTTTGTTCTCCACTGAACCATATTCAGAAAACATTTTAAAATAAGATTCATACTTCCAAAAGCTTAAAGGAAGTAGGTCTCTCTTAAATTTTTTGTTTTTTGCTAAAAAAAAATTTTAGCAGAAGAAAACTTCAGGGGTAATGTAGCCCAAGATGGGTGCCAGGGAGGGAAAACTGGTAGGTTAAACTTACCTGCTCCTATTCTAGAACCTTAAGGACACATTTTCTGCCAGCCACACATGGCAGCAACAGGGGTAGGAGGAATGGACAGATTTTTTGGGGGGTGGGGGTGGTGGGGACTCATCTGCTTGATGAGAGTCCAACCCAAAGCCTGTGCTTTTTCCCAGGACAAATGCTGAAGCAGCACAGAATGGGAGGGAGGGAGGGAGGGAGAGAAAGAAAGAGAGAGAATAAGAAAGAAAGAAAACCAGGGATGTGACAAACATGAAGTTGTTCACCAGTGTTCTTTTTAATAGCAAACTTGGCAGTCTACTGTCTATCAGCAAAACTTGGCCACCCACAAAAAGGTACTGATTTATGCATCCCTAGAAGGCTCTCAAGATAAGCAGAAATATACTTGTACATTTTAAAATGGAAGAAAAGATGAACACTTAAAAAAAAGAACAGTTCAGGTGGGGCTGTTGAGGTCACTGGAAAGCACTTTTTAAACTGTGCTATAAACACAGGACTATAAATCATTAAAAGTTGTGTCAGCACAGATGTGTGTAAGATGTCATTAGGTTCCTCTTTTTTTTCTTTTTGTAAATGAGCACAGCCGCTGCTAAGGAAGTCTTAACAGTTTTATTGTATCCTGGCTGGAGGGAATGCATGCCAAAAGGTTAAAAATTACTCTCTGGCTAATACTGGATAAAGCGGTGTTTGGAGTAATAGAATCATGGAGCTGGAAGGGGCCTATAAGGTCATCAGGTTCAGCTCCTGGGCCAAAGCAAGAATCTAAGTGTATTTGACAGAAGGGAAAGAGTGTTTCACACTTTCTTCCTCTCCATCTCCCTCACATAACACATAGCAATAAAGCGCTCAGGTTCCGTACAGTGGGGGGAAAGGGGAGGAAATTAGCGCGTGGGGGGGTTGCCTTTCCACTCCAACTCCGAAAACTTCCCCCACATCACCCTGAGATCAGGACAGTGCTACCGAAGACTCCTGTCCCAGGCTGTGTGGAGCCTGGATAGGACCATTCTCGTGGAGATACAACACAACACTTTGTTGTGGGTTGCCTCTTGTTACGAAACATGACCAACATCTTTGTATTCCAAAACATTCTTTGCTTTGGACCCCCATGTTCTGTTCTGCAGCACTGCTTATATGCCTTACTGGAAGCTGTTCTTCTTCACTGTTGCTGTTGCCACAACGTTCCTCACAACAGCTTGAACACCACGGAGGGAAGGAACTCAAGTGTCAGGTACACTGATTCTTCACAGTTGGTCCAAAAGGCACCAGGGAAACGCTGCCAAATTATGCATTAGACTCCCTCCCTTCCTCGCTGACAGGAAGGTACAAGGCCATGTCTCTCTACCTCACACGTCCCTGAGCCACCTGCGCTGACCTGTCGGGAGGGAAAGATTCTTTTGCTCTGCATTGCACAAAGGTCAGAAAGATCCAAGTCCAGTCCCTGCTTTTTAGGCCTTCTGGAGCTGTCAAGTCTGGCAGGGCAGGCAGTCGTGGGGCAATCCTGCAAAAGGGAACAGCCGTTGGCCCTGCAGGAGCTGCAACTGTCAACCTGGAGCTCAAATATAGGTGAAGTGGATGATGTGATGGGCAATAAATTTTCTGGCTTAAAAAACAACAAGGAAACTCTACGTGCCACATATGTGTGTGGGGGGGGACATGGAGATTATCCCTGTCACCACAGGAAAACAGGGGAGGGCCTTGCACTTTCAATAAAAATCCCTTTGCCTGCAAGAGAGGATTAATATGGGGGTGGGGAGAGAATCAAAGGCATCAATGGGAGCTTTTTTCCTAACTGGTGAAGGAGTCAAATGAACACATTTATTTCTATAGAAGAATAACTTAGCAGAACAGCAGCCATCATGCCTCTGTAATTTGCTTTGCTACATGAATGTGTATGCTATTACAGTGGTGCCTCGCGTTACGACGTTAATTTGTTCCAACGAAATCGCTGTAGAACGAAAACGTCGTAATGCAAAAATAAAAAGCCCATTGAAACGCACTGAAACCCCTTCAATGCGTTCCAATGGGCTGGAAACTCACCGTCCAGCAAAGATCTTCCATAGGGCGGCCATTTTCGGTGGCTGTCTTGCGAGGAATCCATCCCAGAAAACAGCGGGGAGCCATTTTATTTACCCGGCGGCCATTTTGAAACCGCCAATCAGCTGGAGGAAAATCGTCGTTTTGCGAAGAATCGGTTCCCGAAGCAGGGAACCGATCATCACAAAGCGAAAAAAACCCATTCAGACCATCGTTTTGCGATCGCAAAAAGATCGTGGTAATGCAGTTTCGTCGTAATGCAGGGAAATTGTAAAGCGAGGCACCACTGTATATCAGGTTTCTGTTTAGAAGACAGAAATAGACAAAGCAGAAAAGCCACCTGCATTCCTATGCTTGCAAGTAACTGGTTTTAATTGGGAATTTGTCCTTGCTTACTGATAAGATAATTTTGGTAACTCGCATTAAGACAGGACAGAAGAGTTTTGGCCAAGCGCCTAGGCACCAGAGACTCTTCCTTTGTCCATTCCTTTTCATCTGAACTTATGAAATGTATATTCTGTATAGGCACTTTACACCTCTCCTCCACTTGTTCTGGCGGACAGAGCTGCGTCCATTTACTTTTGCTTCTTTGCGGCTGAAAATAAACAAACATATATCGGATCTCCTTGTCCCTGGTTAATTGAGAATATATCAGAGACAGGTTAATGTCCAGAAACTAATTCTGGTACCCTTCACTGGCAAGCAAGTGGAGGAAGAAAATCTTTTACTAAGATGTTAGCTTAGAAGGAGGTGAATAACCTGCCCTCACTGCTCCCCCACTCCTGCGTGTTTCACATCTCATTTTCAAAAAAACTAACATTTTCAATGTCACTGCACAGTATCAGAAGGGTTTGTATGGGCAGCACCTTGCACTCTCTCCTCTTGACAGCCACATCAGTGCAAAGACTCTAGTGTGAATGCTATCTTCCATAGTTATATGAGCACTGTCTTCAAATAAACATAGTTCACTTGGTCCATAGTCCTGCTCATCTCAGGAATCCGATGTGACTTCTGACGGGATTATCCTATTCTCTCTGAGCAAAAACTATTTGAGATAGGTGAGACCACACCATCGATTGCATGGCAAAGCAGAATTTTGAACCCACAAGAAACTCTGCTTTGAGACAACAACAGGGACTCTCCCTGCATGCTGCTCTCCCTCCCAGTGGCACATAAAGTCAGCTGCTGAGCACTCAACTCCTTCTCCCTCTTCTCTATATAGAGTGACAAAAACAAGGAGGCTGAACCCAGAGATAACTGGGATAATGGAAATATAGTGCTTCTGTTTTTAAAATTTTCCCATTAAAACAAAACCAACACTTTTGGCTGGGGAATCTTTTTTTATCTATGTCCAACGGATGAAATCCTGTTGTGCATCTCTGCATGCCCAGCAGCAGCAGCAGCAGCAAACTTTGGGGTCCACACAACTTTGTCACAGTGTGTATCTCAAAACTGCCATTAATCAGCCACGATTTGCTGCTGCTGCTTATATCATCGCCCATGTGCATGAGGAGATACTGTATATATAGTAACAGGATTTCAGCAATTGTATCATTTGCTCTTTCACTTTCATATTTACTTTTATACAGTATATTCTTTGACTTACTCCCCAGTTTTCCAACCCCCAACCCCACCCCTCCTCTCTCTTCTCTCTCTCTCCCCTCGTCTTTGCTCAGGCCTGGTGTCTGTTTTCTGTCTCCTGAAGGATAGTCTACAACAGCACCCTAAAACAATACAGGCCGTAAATTACTCCATCAGATGTACCATACCAAGAGCCAATGAATATTTAGAATGTTTTACTTGTTACACTGATACTGCATTCCACATTTCATTCTGTTTCCATGTTTGACGAAACTTACATTAAAACTAAACGCTTGCTCTATGGCTTGGAAACGGAGATGAGGACTGCACCCTAGAGTCGGACATGACTGTACTAAATGTCAAGGGGAACTTTTACCTTTACAGTACTTACATTAAAATACAGTATAATAGTCTTTAAGGTGCCACATGTTTTTGCCTTGTTAGGTTTTGTTTCATTGGATTTTGCCCGATATGCTTGCTCAGACTAACACAGCTACCTCCTCCAAAACGACAACTTATCACAGTAAGGAACTCCCCGATGGAGTCTGGGACAATATTTTCTTAGACGGCCCACTCCCATAATCCCACAGCCAGCATGGACACTGTCCATCAAATGAGGGATTCTGAAACTGTAGTTAAAAAAAAAACTAACTTATCCAAGTTCTGCTTCTAGACTATGCTGCTCTTTTTTCCAATGGTAATTTGAGGACCATCAAACTGTTAAAGGGGCCTATGCAGGAGAGTTGTTGAAGAGGGAAGTGACTTCAAGGTGAAGAGTGTAGCTTTTTTCACTTATGCTGGCTGCTCCTCTCCCTTTTTTATTTTTAAAGTAATTAAAGCCAGGTCTTAATTTAAAAAACAAAATTAAAACTAAGACTCTTAGGAGTCTCCCCACAGAAAAACTGCTCATAAAAGAAATAGAAACATGTGTGTGTGTCCACCATCTCTTGTTCAGGCCCTCTTTTAAATGCTAATATCTTTTAGAAAGAGAACTTGGGTCCCAGTCTGCTTTCTGAATCCCTGTGAATGGGTGAATTAGAAACAGAAGA